AATTTCATAATCAGACATAAAAATTATTGCCAGAAAATGTTGGCTATATAATTATATGTAGCTTGCAACCAGGGTCATGGCAATTGTATTTGGTAATAAAATCATAAACTTTAAACATAATTGAAATATTTTGAAAAATTCAAATTGTTTAATTGTACACTTTTGAGCTCAAAATTACATTTTTTTTAAATGTTATAAACAAAGTAATAATTTTTGTATGCTATCATTTTTCATTGTATTGTTCACATGGATAGTAAATGTAATGAAAAATTTTATGTATGTATGTATGCATTTATATAAGGATTAAAATAAAAATTTCATGATTTCGTAATTGCAGTAAAACTGTATTTTTGCACGAATTCAACAACCAAAACTCTTAAACTGAACCGTTTTAATTAATACCTTTGATTGGTTATTTGGTTTACATAGCCAGTGCAGCAAGTCCACCGAGGTCCAATTAGCACAAATTTGCCGTTTTGTTGATCAGATCATCAGTTGGTTTACAGCGATTACCAGGACGTCTTTGACCGTACGATTACAGGTAGCCTTATCTAAACCACCCGGCGCTCTTGAGGAATCTATCTAAATAGCCGATTCTAATGTTCGATCTCGTCCAGGCCATTTACAGACGGTATTTATACCGTATTACTGCATTTTTGAAGTCACGGAATGTTATATAATATGTATATGCATATACATACATATGTATTAGATGTGTGATATGTGTTAATCTAAATATTTGGCGTTTAATCTAAAAATTAAATGGATTCAGTTGCAAACTAAATTATTTTGTAACTTGTTCTCATATTTTAAAAGCTTTTATATGTACATACAAATGCATATGTACATATATTTTTGTTTACATAACTAAATATAATATTAATATAATATTACAATATAATATCAATATAATATTAAACACAGTAAAACATAAACCACTGTTATACAATAATTACAGTAATATTGATTATATAAATTTAGAACCGTCAAATTTAATTTATGCCGAATTAATTTATATTCTAGAGGTTTTTATAATTCCATATTATTTTTGTTTGTTTAATACACATGTACATACATACATATGTACATATGTGCATATTTCGGTTCTTAAACATTCAATGACATTCAGTGTTCCCACTCAATAAAAACAAAATGTATCCAATTTCGAGAAAAAAATGTATCCAAAATGTATCCAGCCTCCTAAAGTAGAATTATTATACTAAATCGTCTTATTTTATACAAATAAACTCGTAAATAATATTAATTTGCTTTATTCAACAATGTGAGTTTCGTTATTTATAGTAAATTCTTTTAGAAATCACACGCAATTTCTACTACATTTTAAAATTTAAGGTCAGAAAATATATGTTCTGTAGCTGTTGAACTATGCGGTAAAAATGATTCAGCATGAAACGGGCAAATTTTATTTAGTCAGCAAATTAAGTTTTTTGGAAGATAAAGCACTTAAAAGTTACAGCACTTTAAAAGTTTTCTAATATTTATTTAGTGTTCGAGAAAGAAATGTATTCATATTTCAGCAAAATTTTAAAATGTAGCCAATTTCGACATTTTAGCAGATTTGAGTATCTTTGTATCCAAGCTAAATTTTAAAGCAAAAATGTATCCAAATGGATACAATTGTATCCAAGTGGGAACGCTGATGACATTTTAATAATTATTGCTTTCATTTTTGAGTTCTAATAACATAACTTATCTTTAAAATTATAAAAATTGTTAAGAATAAACTAAGAGTCTTTTACACCATTGTGCAGTTAAACGCTTTTGAAACGTTATACAATATGCATATACCTTGTCATTATATATATGTTTTTTAAATTATTATTCTCATTTATTCATCATCGTAATTCATAAAGATGCTGTGACTGATACAGATATTTTACTTTATCCTTTTACTTTAAACTTTTTGCCTTTTAAATTGTTTTTCTTTTGCTTTTTTTTGTTGCTACTACTATGGTGTTACTTAGTTAAAAATTTGCTCACGAGTCTTTTTAAAATATTTTATCCTGGGGTGGAATAAATTACGTTTTGCAAATAAAATAATAAAATAAAAAAAAAGTTGAAATGTATAAGATAACGACAAAAAAAACAAGCAGAATTGCATCTAGTAATAAGTTCCGGTTTCTAAAGTATCCAGGAAGATAGAAGTTATTACATAACTAATTATACGATTTCAAATATTTCTCGACCATTTCATATTTTCAGTGTGTTTAATTCGAATCTTTTATATTAACTCATATTTACTCGTATTTTTTTATTAACATGTTCCAATCCTTTGTCAAACCAATCATTACATGCGAACTTTATGGATTCATATTTGTATTTATAACATGTAATTCACTGGCAATTAAATTAGAGCATTTTACATGAATAGCTCTGCTACACCAAAAACGATTGCAACATAAAACTCTCACTACTCTTTATTAGTTTATTACAGTTTTTTTCTAAACAAATTACATTAATTTTAAAACAACATCATTTATATAAGTACAGCTTTTTACATAGCAATGAATTTTAATTTAATTTAATTAAGAAACAAGTTAATGAAGTCTTCTAATTTCAATAATAGGAATGAAATTGATATTCATGAATTCTCTTTAATACTTTGCTTCCGTAAAAAGTTATTGTATCAAATACACAATTAAGTTTTTATACATTAAAATGCCAAAACAAAACCACGCTATTGTCACAAACTCTCCCTCACTATTTATCTGATGTCGTTATAAAAACAAATTTTTAATTTTAAACAAATCATTCTAGGTGCCTTACTCATATTGTTAGGGATATATTATTTTATTTTAATAAAAACCATTTTTATTTAATATTAAAAATTAATTTTTTATATTTATTTTATAATAATATAAGGTATACATAAAATTAAAATGATTTTTAACTAAATAATTTGAATTTTTTTTTTTAATATTTGTATTTTCTCATATTTTAATATAAATGAAACAATAAAAAACATAAATATATTACGTAATTTATTCCATTTAAAATTTCAAGTAAACGTATGTATGTATGTACCTTTAAATAATTATTTTAAAATAATGTTTAATTAATTCATTTAACACATAAAAATGTTAAAAAAAGGCAAATTTTAGTTTTAAAACTCTCTTTGCTTGTCCACTATCAACTACACTAAGTCCTCGAGATATGACATATTCTAATACGGCATTTCGAATTACGACATGATATAAATTCTGACCTACTTTATTCTGCTTGCAACATTGTTCCTGATACATTAATTTTTTTTAATTTTTTTGGACAGATTTTACTGATTTTTGAATAAGTCTATACCAAATTTAGTTATACGACAAGTCTAAAGCACATACTTCAATAATGAATTCTTTTTAGTTGGAAACATTAGTCAGTAGTTAAAAATACGAATTGAAGTTATGTACATATCAAATTAATCAGACTTTATTTTATTTACTATTGTTACAAAATTGAATTTTTTGGTTCTTTGTCACTTTTTAAAAGAAAAAAGAGGTGATTTTTAATACAAAATAGTTTGCCTAGTTAACTCTTTGTTTCCATACATTTTTTTTCTTCCTCAAGCGATAATTCGAGTTACGACATAAATTTCTGGAACTAAAAATATCGCATCTTGAAGACATAAGTACTTCATGATCAACTTAATTTAATTAAAAACATAATGAAAAGATTTCTTTTTATAGTAATTATATATGTATGTATGTACGGCACATTATGAATATTTCGCAGTTTTTTCTTTTTTTGATTATTTGCCCATATAAATATTTAATCGTTTTGTTAGAAAATATACAAAATTTATAATCTTTGGTAGTTTGTTTTAAAAAGTTGAAAGCAAATAAAATTTGGTTTATATGCATTAAAAAAAAATTTGTATGATATAATTTCAAAAAAATGTTAATATGAATTGAAAATGTTTAGTAAAATATTTAAATTAAAAGTATTTTATTTTTAAACAAATTTAAAAATTTACTTCACTTAGAACCTTTATTTAATTGTTAACTAAATAAAACATAATTCATTTTAGCCAATATTGACATCAACAATAGAATTTTTGTATACTTTTAATATTACCGATGTTAAAGAGATCAAAAATTTGCTACTACTGGTGGAAATAATACGCGATTTAAAAGTAATTTTTTGATTCACCACAATTATTTTTCTGTTCTAATTGCATCATAATAAAAATCAAATCTTAATCCTATAAATAAAGTAAAACCTTTTAAAAATTTATTAATTTAAAATGTTTGCAATTTTTCCAAACATTATTGTTAAATATGTATAAAAATCTACTTATTAAATTCTTATTTTTTTTTAATTAAATCAATGTTTTTAATATGCGCATATAAATGAAAATTTAAAATTTTAATAAACCAATGAAAACTCTAATTTCCTTTTGATTTTTGAATCAAATGTTATACAATATTTTTATGTTTAATATTATGTCAACTACATAATATTGTAATAGTTAATTGTAATACCATATTAAGAGTAAAAAAAAAAACTATATACGATATACATAGTGTAATTATAACTTCAAAAGATCATGTTTTATTTTATGATATGAGCCTAAATGTTTTAAAATTTTTTGTTTAATCTTAAGGATTGAATTGAATCATGAAAATTAAGAAATTATATAAAAAGGTTTTGTTATCGGTACATATCTGTTACTAGAACTTGTACATAGACCTATATAAAATTCATATTATTTACTAAACTACTCTATAACTACCTAGATAAGTGTATCTTAAAAATTTGTAGATTGTTTTTTTCCAAAAATAGATGTTTTTTTGTTTTAACTATAGATCCTTTCGAATTTTATATTATTTATTTTTGCTAAATTTAAAGATATGTACATATATAAAATATATATGTTCATATTTCATATTAAAATAAAATAAAATCAAAAAAAAAATTAATCATTTAATAATATCTAAAACTACGTTCCAAACTAAGATTAATACAAATAAAAATAAGGATTTGAAAAACTTATATTGGGAAATTTTTTATCCTTTTTTTGTATTTAACTTAATTAAAATTATTTCCATTAAAGTATACAAAAAAAAAAATTAATTAAAAGCATAACTATAAAGCATTATAGCGTGTGGACAATAAAATCAAAACAAAAAAATTAGTTAACCGCAAAATAAAAAATATCAAATCTTTAATCAGGTAATTTTAGCTTTCAGCTTTCTAGAAACCAAATATGTAAATTCAAATTTTGATCATTAGTAACCTACATTATCAGCGTCTATTTTTAGTTATAATTTCTATACAATCAATTATTTCTTCACTAGACATTTTCTCATAATGCAATAATTTTATGAAATATTCATGACGTTCTAAATTAAATCGTTCTGTTGTCAAAATATTTGATATTTTATCCAAAATCATTTTTCTCGAATCAATATTATTTTTAAATGTTTCACAGATATAATCTATAACTGAATTTGTGTTTAAACGTTCACAGACAACTGACGATAAATTTTCTTGAATCGCATGATCTAAAAATTCCTTTGGATGTTTTTCTGATAACATTTCTAATACATTAGTTTTAATTCGAACATCTTTTTCCATCACTACTGATAAATCTTTAAATACAGTTCGAACTAATTTGTTGGTTAGAAAATCTTTATTATTTTCTCTTCCCTCTCTATATTTTTCATAAATCTCATCAAAAGCATATTTTTCTACTACATATTTTAAAACAGCATTTTCATCAGTGAAATATATAGAAGGTGATGGTGTTATCATTCTTGGTTCATCGTCATCTTCATCAATTACTATTCTATCACGATTTTGTTGTATATTGGTTGTACTATCAGCAGTTGCATTAAATTTAAGCGAATCCATTTGAACAGAGGTTGCAGGTACATTATTTATTGTTTCATCAGTTACCATTTGCTTTGACGAATCACATTCTTGAAGTTCTGAAGTTAAAGCAGAGCTTGATGGTAACAATTGATCTTTTGAAGACAATTTTTCGATGTTATTGATCGAATTTGCCACTTCAATTGTATCAATTTCGTTTTCGATTGATTTTCTTGGTATTTCAATCATTCTAACATTTGACAATTGCTGTGGTGAATCATTAAATCTAGCCAATTCAAGCATGCTATCTATTCGATTTTTACGTTTCAGAGAATGCTTCATTGAATTGTTCGTTGGTGTACTAGTACGCTCCTGATGCATTCTGTTTTATATAAAATAATTAAATTCATTTTTTATAAAATTATTAAAAATTTGCTTACTTATTAGGTCGCATTTGAGTCGGTTTATCTTCTTCGCTATGTTTAACATACTCTTTTGTTACAGATACTGGTGGATCATGAAAACTAACCCGTTTACGTTTATAAGCTGGCGAATCGTAATCCTCTAAACTTTCTTTACGAAATTTCCGTTTTAATATACTGGCTGAAGGGCTAGCATATGGAGATGGAAGGGTTTTGGAAAAAGTTAAGAGATCATGTGCTGCTTGTGGTGTTGGTGGAGCTGTTGTACCATTATTATTTTCAAAAGATTTTTTAGGTGGGCTTGGTGGAGTTGGTAAGCTATTATGATGAGAATTTTGTTCTTGTAGAATAGAACCTTCTTCGCTTTTAGGAGTTCTAAATGGAGAAGAACTGAAACGAGTTGATGTATCAATTTTACGGTTTCTTATCATATTAATCAATTGTGCACCGCGTCCGGTTAAGCCAGATTGATTTTTTGATTTTAGAGCAGGACTAGCGGAATTATTGGTGTTTTTACGATCCGGTGGAGAATTCAAAGATGCTGGTTTAGTTGATTTTTTAATTGGGGAAGTTTGTTTTATAATATCAGATCCAATTTTAGCATGTTCATTCAAAGATTTTAAATCATCAAATAATCGATCAGCATGGGAATCTGCAACTTTAGAATTTGTTTCAATTTTATCGTTATCGATGGGAATGGGGGATATGTTAAGAGTATTATTCATGAATTCAGCATTTTTTTCTTCAAAGTCTCCACATTCAGGGGATGCAATGATGCTTTGATTCAATACTTTTTTAAGTGAGTTATTAAAAGGTTTTATTGGTGAATATGCTGGTGATTCTATAAGCCTATCTTCATTATATTTATAAATGTCACTATCACGTTTTGGGGTAGAAGGGCTTTGTGGTGTATTTCCTTTTTCTTGAACTGAAGAATTTAAAAGTTCTGCATTTGGTTCAGTGTCCACCTCACTGGGGTTTTTCTTTGCCCAACCGGGTAACTTTCGGGGGTTGCGAGATCGGATTTGGGTTTCTGTTTTTGTCATTTCTGCATTCAAATCACATTCAGTATTTGGTTGTGTTTCTATCCCAGTTATAATTTTCGATAATTGCGGTGACTTTCTTGGGCTAGACCTAGTAACGATATTTTTGGAATTCTCTCCATTACAAACTTCGTTCAATAATTTTTGCATTTTAGGAGAAGCTTCAGCCGCAGCAATAAGTTTTTCAACTAAACCGCTTCGTGACGTTTTGTCAACCGCAGGAGATTGCGTTAACGATGGGAAAATTATGGAGTCAGTATTATTTCCATCCATATCTGCACTATTATTAATACTCCGAACAACTTTATCCTTGGATGTATTTTCTATAACTGTTTCATAAACAAGACGCTTTCTTGGTGATTTTCTGGAAAGTTCTCTCTCTTGTGATTCTTCTGATGAAGTGTTTTTTAAAAGGCGGCTACTTTGTTCTTCTTTTCTAGTTATAGGAACGATTTTCTCAGATTGAAGAAATTCAGTATTTAATTCGGTGTCCATTTCAGAAATTTTTTTATTTTCGATTGAAATATTTTTGTTGTCATTATAGTCTATGTTTCTCAATACGTTTGCTTTTCCTAAACATATCATAAAGTTATTTTTAGAGTAACAGTATGTTGTAAAAGTTTGTATCTTACCTTCTGCGGTTGTATTAGCAAAAACATCTTCGTTTAAATTTTTGTCATGTTTATTTAATGTTTCAACATTGCCTAAATTATTTTTAAGAGGACTTTGACAAGTAGTGGTCATATTAATTGATGATTTTCTTGGTCGGCGAGCAAGTATAGATTCAGACCTTTGAGATGGTTCTATGAATTCATCCTCTGAACTTACACTTACGGAAGAGTTCTGAAGGATTTCTACTTTGGAGTTTTTTTGAGCTAATATTGTGTTAAGATTAAAATCTCCTTTTGACTTGTTATTTTCATGGCTTTTAATTTTTTCATTCTTCTCTTCAGTGAGAGTCTCGTTTTCATTCAATTTATTTTTTGGGGACAAATTATCTTCCGTATTTTTATCAATTAACGATTTTCTATTTCTTACATTTCGTTTTTCTGCTTTTTTTTTATCATTTATTTTCCTTGACGTAATACCTCCCTCATTTTTCTTCGGATTTGCCGACTTTCTAGTTCTTTCTTTTGCGAATTGACTTTTTAGCAATTTTTTTCCTTCTACAGTATCAATACGCAAAGACTTTATGTTGCATAAGATGAGATATCTCTTTTTTTCATCTTGCACGTCAACATTCATCGATTTTAGTAGAGCTTCATCTTCTTTTGTTATTTTGTATTTTTTTGGATCTACACTCTTGCTTCTGTTAGAATTTTGTTTCGGAGATATTTTTTTTTCTTTCTCATCAGAGTCTTTAACCATTTTTTCAACATTATCGCTTTCAGAACTGTTGGAATTAACACTTTTATTGGCTTTTAATGGGGATATTTTTTCTTCTCTTAACTTTTTCAATGGGCTTTTGACAGGAGACGAGATTGAGTTGGTTTTTTCTTTTGGTTTCTTAAATGGACTTTTTTCTGTTAAATTTTGGTTTAGATATTGGTTTCCTTTTTCTTCTGGGGGGTTTTTCATTTCCTTCGATTGCGTATCTGATGCTGTCGTTTTTGGACTACTAATAATGAGTTGATCTTTGCCTCTAGGAATAACAATTTTGTTTGGAGTCCAAGGTTTAATTGATGAAGAATCTTGCGAATGTGAATCGGAGTTCATATCATTATATAGAGCTGGAATATTATCCTTTTTCTCTTTCATTTTTTCTTTCTGATGTTCTGTTAAACGTTCTGGATTTAAAGCCCATACTGAAGGAATAATTACAAATTCATCTGATTTCAAAGCAGAACGAAATTCTTTTAGATATTTCTTATCTAACGATTCTCTTTTCAGTAATTCGATTACTGTTTTCTTATATAATTCAAAACAGTTCTTTGTAATGTACCTTAGTTTGTCCGCCTGTCCTAATGTCGTTGTAATAGATTTTAACTCTTCAAAAATTAAAATAATTTGAATATCCTTTAAGTCAGATATGTAACCTAGAAAATTTTCTATGATTTTATTATAGCTACAATTTTTCGGAGGGGTTTTGGACAAAACTGTCTTCAAAAGATCCAAAGTTTCTGTAGGTTTTGAATTTTTCTCTGTACAAAAAAAAGAAACAAATTAAATTTGAGATATTAACCAAATATCTTAATTTTACCAAAATTCTTGTCCATGCACTCAATATAACAACTGAAAACATCATCAAAATGTGGAATTGTATCCTTCCTTTCACTCAACATTCTCATCGATGGTATGATTTGTTTTATAAAATTACTTCTCCCTTGCGCATTAGCACTACATAACATAACTTTCTTCCATAATACGAAAAATGAATTATCAATTATTTTCTCTACAGCCTTTTGCTTGGTTTCCTGAATCCACCCACACTTTTTAAGTGGCCAGACTACCCATTTATTAACTACTTCAAATTTACTTTGTAATCTGAACTCAAACAATTTGCTGTTCATGTAATCACATAAAACAACTGAGAAAGCTTTCCATATTGAAATTTTAATAGCAAAGTTGGTAAAATCATTTAACTGATCTGTGGTTAATATATATTCTATTAAATCCTTTTTTAATTCCCAAAATTTTGTCAAATTTTTATATTTTTCTAAATTGTAAACATTTTTAGTTATAGGTTCAAAAATAATTTCTGAAAAATAATTTTCCTCGTTTAATAATAAAATATCAGTAATGCAAGTGACTATTTCGAAAATTTGTACATAATTTGCAGTATTGTTATTAATGTCATATAAATAATTATAATGTGTTCCGAATACTTGTACCATATCTAAAATATTAGATTTCATAAGTAATTCTGGATTTTCTTTATCAGTATCAATAAGTTGTTGTATAACTGAACAGCATTCTTTATAAATTTCGGGGTTTCTTGACTGGATTACATGGTGTACCAATCCATGCCACAATAAATCGAACAATTTTTTCCGAGCTTTACCTTGTCCAACTGCAATTGAAATAATTTAAACAAATTATAAAAATAGTATTATTTTTAAATAAAAACAAGAGGGTATACCAATTATTAAAGAAGCTTCAAAACAGGATCGAATAATAGCTTTCCAATTAGTTTGCATTATCATTTCGGATATTACAGCCTCTTTCGGTTTCTCGAGATTATTGTACTCTAATTGTACTTCAATTTCCTTATTGTTAGGATTGAGCATAGCGATCAAAACATAAATTGTAATTTCCTTCATTTTTGGATATTGTTTAAGTGTTGAATATCCATTTATTGAATTTCCAAAACAAAATTGCAAAAATGGAGCAAAAACCAATTCTTGGTGCAACTCTAAACTGTTGTTGTAATTTGAATCTGCATTTATTGTATGACTTTCACTTAATTTTACTAAAAAATACCAATATGCTTCAAATTTAGTTTCAGCGGCATATAAGGTTTTAGCTTGAGATGATCGGAATGGTATATTAACCAGTTTAACACGTTTTGTTGGTATTAGTTCATTGTATTTAAAAAACATTTTTACTAAGGCTTTCCAGCATATAAAAGCTTGGGCACGAACTTCTAAATTTGGAGACTTGAAGCTTTGCTCGACTATAGCTAAATATTTATTAATTATAAGTACACTTCGTATGATGTCCTGATCAAGGACCTGTATTAATAGGCACCATATTTTGTACCAGTTAACATTATTGGATGAATCACGAACTTTACTGATGTGCTGTGTGTATTCCTCAACAATTCTGTCACGAATGATGGGCCATTCGGAACTTGTTTGATACGCAGAAGGCTCTATTTTAGATAAGATTTTTTCAATGGCATTTATGGCACCACACTGTATAGCTGAATCATTATCAACTACTAATGATAGTATATCAATGAAGAAAAATCGAACTTGTTCATTTGTTAAAAATGTTATGGTAGTATCTTCAGACACAGTTATAAAATTCAAACGCTCCAATACCTAAACAAATATTTTTGTCAGTAGATATTTTTTAGATTTGTATAGTAGGTACTACCTATTTACATACATAATTAAAATATTTTCAATAATTCAAATTTGATTAGTATTGATAATAAGTATTAGCAAAATAATTGTATTTCCCATTTTTAAACTTCATTCAATTGATTAAATCTTATGACTACTTACTTCTTTTATCAAATGTCTTTGCTTTAGTCTTACAACATCTTTGGATGTTTCAAGAACATCTTGATATTCTTTCACTAAACCAACCATCTTTTGGTCTTATGCATGTAATATTTCTTGACCTCAACACTGGTACCTTTATTTAATTACACATATACACAAATGCAATTAAATGTTAATTAAGTGTGTCAAAGGCCTTTCAACTTTTTGATTTGATTTCTTTATAACCTTAAATAAAAATACTATAAAAGAACACATAATAATAGAATTAAGAAATTAATCACCTCGAATAATTTTTCATATTTTTCTTTCAAATATAGATTTATATCTACATATATTTTCCTCCTTTATATCTACATATATCTTCAAAATAATGTTGGGAGTCTCAAAAATTCAATTTATTCTGCTTAACAAAGATTTACGAAAATCTTTTTCTGTTTTTAATACTTTTAGAAGTTATTTCTAATTTATTTATATTTTGGAAAAATTTTATATATATTTAAAATAAATTAATGAAAGTTACTTTTATCAAAAAATATGCTTTCTCTAATAAGCGCGATAAATACTTTGAGCGCCAAAAATACTGAAGTTGTCATTTTTTATTAAAAAAAAAAAATAAACAAAGATATCAGGGCTGCAATGAGAATATTAAATTGGTACAGTTCAGAAGTTGATCGAAGCGCTACTGCGGCGAAAAAACGAATAAATAAATAGCTTAATACAAAGTAGAAATAATTATTGCTTTGTATTATTTTCTTCAACACTTGATTAAAAAAATATTTTATGAGTGAAACGTTAATTGAGTTATATGTAAGAAAAATTTAACCTAAAACTTGAAGATATCGCAAATACATATTTCAATTTGTTTTTCTGGTTCTCATGATAATGTTGCATTTTCTCTATGCAAGATGATCTCTAAGATTCGGTATAAACTTAGATAATAAAATTTCAGAATTACAATAACAAAGTGAAAAAATTTACGATCACTTCTCACAAAATATAAAAAATTCAGCCGTTTGATTTGAATGGGCTGAATGATATTTCTGTGGGAAGTGACTGTGAATTCTCTAATCATTCGGGTTTTAGAAATAAAAAGTTTGGTTTTTTTTGGATACCTGCCCATGATCATAACAAAAAATGATCGATCCAAAAAATGATCGATCCAAAAAATGAAAGTTTTGTAAGTAAGTAGGTACCTGGGAATGTTTGTACACGATCATTAATTTTTGATCAAAACTTTTATGAATTGATTTTATGTCAGGCAATAAAAGTTCATTTAACAACTATAAACAATAAAAAGAAGCAATAACTTTATTTTAAGAACCAGTAAATTATAATATTCCTAATTTTAATTTATTTCACTATTATTGGGTGCTGTTTTAATAGCCAAAACTTGAGTATAAACGTAAATAAATCAAAATGAGTAAAAAAAATTAATCAACTGGATCAAACATAAGTGCGATAAGAATGCCAAATACAAAACTGTATTATAATTATAAAGATAGTTAGTTACATCTACATACATACAGGCATATATGCAACATAATGTTTGTATATCATTAAACTTATTTGTGAAAAAATGTAATAAAAATTTGGTGCAAAAACAAAGGGTATATAAATCTAGAATCGCAAATCAATTATCATTTAACTTCTTAGTTATTTGGTAGAATAGTTGCTTTTTTAAAAATAAATAATTTATTTATTATCATGAAGCTCTTTGTAAGGATTATTTAATTTATTTTATAGTATTGTGTATATATTCATATATACATATGTATATAGTAGTGTACTTTTATGCATAAATTTATAATTTAACCCCAAACTCAATAAACAAAAATACTTACTATAGAATAATTGTGATTATAGTGGAAATTTATAAATTAAAATGTTCTTCTAGATGAATAAGTAAATTAAAATTAGTCTGAAATAGTGCAAAACAATAAGTAAAAAATTATTCTTGTTCTAAAAATTATTGTAATCTTAATAATAAATATTAAAAAGTGCAAAAGAAAATCACGAAAAGATATTACAAATAATAGTTGGACTAGGCACCCACGCGAGACTTAAAGAATATTACACCAAAATTATTATAAAATAACATCTAAATTAGGATTTGTGAATCAAAAATTTATATTCAATATAAGATTGATATATAAAAGTTTCTTTAGAAATAAGTGTTTGGAAGTTTCATATATCATTTAATCATTGTCTTTTGTGGGTCGCAATATACATATATATATATATATTGCATTATTCCAATATATGATATTTAAATATGTAGATAAAAAAGAAAATACGCGCTTTTAGCTCAATGTATAGATCTAAAACAAACTTGACTACTTCTTATTAAATTATTTTCATATACATATCTACATATGTTACCGAATTAGTTCAATGTATCTAAAACACGATATTTAATCTAAAATAGTTAATTCTCCAAAAAGGTATTTGCCCCAACTAACATTTATATTTAAATTTTTTATTTTAATTGCAGATTGTATTAGCTATTATAGCTATTGCTGCAGCTCGATCACATGTAAGAAATCAATTACCTGCTGATAATGGTGACATTCTTTCAAAATCATATGATTTAAAAGACGATGGTTCCTATGGATGGGAATATGAAACCGCAAATGGGATTAGCGCGTCAGAAAATGGTGTAGGTGGACAATATGCTAAAGGTACTGTTGAATGGACTAGCCCTGAAGGTGAACATATTATTCTTCAATATACTGCTGATGAAAATGGTTATCAACCATCTGGATCACATGTACCACAAGCTCCAGAGTATATAGCACGTGCATTAGCATGGATTAGAGCTCATCCATCAGTTTATAGAAATTAATTTGTAATTTTTTATTATTAATCCAATTCTTTTATTCTAACAAAATATAAACGACAAAAATAACAAATTAAGTTTTTGTATACTCAAATTCTTTTAAAATGTTTCTAATTAAACCATAAGAATTAAACAATTTCCATGTATTGTTACTCATCCACTTTGGAAGTTAAATAAAAATGGAACATACTAATTCAAAATTCAAATTCTATCATGACTTTAATAATTTTTATTTACTTTCAATTATAAATTTGCATAATATCGTCTTGTTTGAATAAAAGGCATAATATGCGCGTAAATAGTAACAATGTTTAATATTTAGTTTTTATAGGATTTTTAACTAAGATTCATCATAAATTGTGAAAAGAATAACAAAGAATATAGAATTTAATATTGCAATATTTAGAATAAAAATAATGAGTTTTGAATTTTACCGTAAGTTTCTATTTATATTATGTAAACATGAAACATATTCGTACTCATTTCGACAAACAAATTCGACGAAATATAAGAATCTTTATTAATTATCTGTTACAATGAAAATATGTTTATTATGTAAAATTAAAAATTTTTGCTATCTGTGGAGTCAAATAATGCCCGAATATTATGAGAATATTCATCATCATCTCAGCTAAACAGTCCGACGGGAACCATTGCTTCTGCTACTACTACATGTCATTGATCTCTCTGTTTTGCAAGACTGTACCAATCAGAGATGTTCATTATTATTGGATGTGTTCAACATCTTCAATTTATCTTTATCTTGGTCTACCGCACCTTCTATACCTTTCAGGAACCGTTTTAAAAACTTTTTTTTACAATCCTTGCATCGTCCATTCTTATTAGATGTCTCAGCCATCTATTATATGTACACTGTAAGTTTAAATAATATTCTTCCTTATATAATCTGGAATTTTGAAAATTATAAATTTTTTCTGCCTCTGTACTCTGGTTAAATTGAGAGGTTTCGTTCGCTTTAGGCTAAGTCGAGAGGCCTCGATATTTACATGCTGTCCCAAAAGCACCGTCTGTTTCATGGCGCTTTACCCTATTTCTTCATTTACTTGGAGGCCAACCAGATTCCTAAAAATATCACTATTGCGCACTTATACAAGGGAGATCCACCTTAAATAAAAATATTATAAAAAGACATATAGAAATAATAGAATTAAGAAATGAATCACCTAATAATTTTTCATATTTTTCTCTCAATTTATATATAAAGATTTATACCTACATATATTTTGTTATTATCTTGCAAATGATGCTGAAGTCTACCACAAAGGACATTACTATATTATGAAGCAGCTTGTTCCGAAAAGTTTGTAAGTATTTGCTTGATATACGTTATGTCAATATAAACCTAATTATTTGGTGTATATTAATGTTTTGTTGTATGTTGCCAATTTAGACCCATGCTCTAGGAACCCAGAGTCTATATGTTTTCTAATCCTATTTTTTTCTTGTTGACACGCTCTTTTCATCTGAGTTTGACAACCGAAGTCATTTCTTGGTACTTTGCTTTATTTTAGATTTTACTCTATTCAAATTTAATTGTGATGGGCTTACGAAATTTTTGTTTATGAAACTTACTTTCGTTTATCTTTATCTTTTATTTATTTGTCTATATATTTACTTATATTATTATAATTGCATATATATTATTAAATTATATTATTATAAAATTTTTTGTTGATTTTTCAACATTAGGTCACACTGCCAATATTCCTGCATCGTCGGGAAATGTAGCTACAGTAACACGTATAATATTGGACCCATAGGTCAACGCAGTGTTCTTCAGAATATTGTCACGTGGAATATATTAGGTCCTACTTAAATCGAAAAAGTGTTTCAGACAAATATGATTCAAATATCTGGACGAATTGTAAAGATACCTAATTCAATTATTCCATTATTTTTATGTGAGTACATTAATTATTATATAATATATTTAAGAACCAGTTTGTTTTGATTGATGATGAGGGGAAACATTAAATTTTTTTAGATATTTTTAAATTCATCATATAGTTTACAAAAATTTTTAACTAAATTTCTGTAAAGCACAAGCAATTATTTATAATACTTTAAAAACGAATGACTTCAGTGAAAAACTTTGTGTTAATTAACAATATTAACATGTTATTATCGTTGTTTCGCTCAACAAACGAAAGATATAAATTTTAAAAGCGTTGCAATTTTATTACAGTTTGATTAAATGTTTTCATGTAGGTACTTGACTTTAATATTAACGAAATAGTTTATGTATTAATTTATAGATGAGAGTAATTTATGAAATAAAATTTTAAAAATATCTACGTATATGGAATAACTTTAAAAGTCAGAATAAAAAATATCAGAAAAATTACTTTAAAAGTTATTAGGAATGAAATAAAAATATATTATTTGGTTTTATTTAGGCATTAAAATAACGAAAGATTGTAATAAATGTTGTTTTATGGTAATGGAATTGACTATTATTATGGTAATATTAATTTACTTGTTTTTAATTATCACTTTTCTTTAGATATTAAATATCAAATTGTATTTTAAAAATATTAGATACCCTTTGCCTATTCAATGTCAAGTTGTTGTTTTCTAATCCTCTCCACAATATCATCTGCAGTAACTTAATAACCCAGGTAACGGAATTCAAACACATTGTGGTTGCTTACTTTCCCAGGCATAATTTTTGTTGCATTTACACTTACACACTTAATTTTGTTTGTCATCTGCATATTCCACATCTTACAAACTATTTGTGCTAGTTCAGAGATTAGTCAAGTCTCTACGTTGAAGTATTTTCTGCTCTGCCTGTTCATATAATGCTTTATTTTTATTATTTTTTGAGGAATTTTCCTTGTTAAAAAATACCATAATGATGCTCTTTTTGTCTGAGGCTTGTGATTGTTTTGCTTTTTATTGTGGATATTAGATTATGCAAGTGAAACACTTTGATAGCAGAGTTAAGTACTTATAATAGCTAGATATTTTTCTGTGCGAAAAATCGTATTGAGTACTTTATAAATTTTATTTGAACTTACTTTAAAGAGTTCATATCGTGTTCCGTAAATATTTTCCGCCTCATTTTCCCTTATGGGATCAATAATTTCTCTTTTACTTGGTGGCTTTTACTGTTTACTCTGTTAGCGTTATTGTTGTAGTTTTTTGTAATTGTTGCTTTATCTAAAGTATTCCTGCCATATCTGCAGAGTAGCGAGCTTTCTCTTCCTGATTAGTCGAATTCGCTCCTTGGATTAATAAACACATACATATATTAAAATTTAAATTAAATATTTTTATGTATCAAATAAAGCTATACATTACCTTCATTTTTCTTTGAAATACAATAAAAATTTTATAAATTTAGAAATTCATTGCAAATCTTGTTTAAAAATAAAACTTGAAAGAAAAAAAATTTGTTTCTTTTTCAAATATCAATCATTATTTTGATGACCTTTCTGCAATCTGGTCATAAAGCAAAATTATCTTTCTCTATTTGTATATCGAACCTTTGAAAACTAATTCAATTTGCATAAATTATCATTTGCATATTTTTTTTCTCTTATAATCCTCTATACTACCATTGTCGATACAATCATTGTTCGTTCACAATGCATTTTATTTCGATATTTTGTTAAACTAGTTCAAAATCGAAAAAAAATTATAAGAGTACAATAGAATCGACACAAAAAATTAATAAATTGGTGTTAAAATAAAATTTTTTTCTTAATTTTTAATATTAAATTTTATTTTCTTTTCATACATTTATATATGTATATACAAATATATATATAAATATTTTACAAATTTTAGATATATTTATTAACATATATTTAAAATAAATTGTCTTGTTTGGTGGTCGTAAGCTTTATAGTGCAGTAGAATAATTTCAAAATTAGATTACGTAAGCGTTCAATATACTGAATGAAATGCATTTTCTTTCCGTTTTTCGTTTTAAAAATTAATAAAATAATTTATTCTAAATTTTATTTGGCAGTTATTTTAAATTAGAAAAAAGAACACTACAAATGTATTACATATTTTTCCATGAGAATTTTCTTGTTTTTTTTTTAGTTTAACTAATAATTTTGATATTCAGGATTTGGATGAGTTCTAATCCATTCTAATGCACGTGTAATATATTCTGGAACTTGTGGTACATGTGATCCCGATGGTTGATAACCATTTTCATCAGCAGTATATTGTAAAATGATATGTTCACCTTCAGGGCTAGTCCATTCAGCAGCACCTTTAGCGTATTGCCCACCGACACCATTTTCAGATGCACTAATACCATTAGCGGTTTCATATTCCCATGCATATGAACCGTCTGGACTTAAATCATATGATTTTGTTAATATACCGGAATCATCACCAGCTGCAGCTGCATGTGCTGCAGCAGATTTAGCTAATGGTGAGGCACGTGGTGCTGGCACTGGACGTGCCTGTGCACGAGCTTGTGGTCGTTGTTGTTGGCGTCCAACTGGTTGTCTACCAGCAGCTGTAGCAATAACAAAAATCGTACAAAGGACAACCTTTTTTTTTTAAAAAAAAAAAAACATCAAAATTAAAATTATTTATTCTTTTGACCAAATTTTTTTAAGTATTATAAATATTAAAAAAAATAATTTACAAGAAAATTATAGATGGTTTTTCGTATTTTATAATATTTACGCTTGACGGATCAATAAATTTTAAAAATTTTAAGTTTAAGAAAATTTCTTAGGAAATTTTGAAATTTGAAAATATCCCGATGAATATATGCCATTTTCGAAACTCAGTGTTATTTATAATAAGGCATAATTCTTTTATTATGTTTTTTTTCCTTTTTTAAGTACATAGTTATTAATTTTTATAAATCACATTTTTGTGATTTATTGCACTTAATCCTTGCAAAGTAACGTTATCCTTGTTATGTATTAACTAGGTTATTATGTATTTTTTTAAATTGTAGTAATCTAACATTTTCTATATGTATTTTATGTTATTTTCCGATTTTTTCATTCTTGTATTAATTAAAAATTTAACTAAAATTATATTATAGCACTGAATATGTAAAATCAAAATATCCTTACAAAGTATTTCATATTGCAAGTATGTAATTTCGACAAGAAAACAATTAAAATATATGATCAAGTGATCTTAATGGTTTCTAAACGTTTTATGATATTTTAAAAAGACAAAAATTCTTTTTATACTAAAAGTCAAAAATAAAATTTAATGAAATTGTTTTACATTATTTACTTGTGTACAACACTATATACATATTTGTACATATATTTTGAAAATGATCTCACATAAAAGTTAAAAAAAATCAATATTTTAAGAGTCCAAAAACTCCAAAATTTTAATGAACAAACAATAGCATTTTTAATGTTCATTTATTATATAAATTAATACTAACCAGGCAACTATTATTTCAATTTTACTTAATTTGGTTCAAATTCTTCAACTGTGCACAATTACTTTCATATATATTATATTCATTGATGAGAAAAATTTATCTTATTATACATACATATGTATATTTAGCAATCTTATTATATATTTACAAATACAAATAACTAAAAAACAACGAAAGTAAAAATTAAAAATTATAAAAAAAGAATAGAATAATCAATGGTAGAACCCACAATATTATGAAGGTTAAAAATTCTTTTGTTCTTCTTTGCAATTTAATATGAACATACATATGTATGAATAAGAGTAGTATAATGAAATTTTTACATAAATCTAATACACAACATGACGGTGAAGTGATCTAGAACTAGATATTCTAATCTAAAAAACAAATAGAAAATTTTATATAAATTTATTATTAAAAATTTTGGTGTCCATTCATGAAATAAAACTAAATCACCATTTTTACTGCTGGTCATTTAATTCTACTTTTCTTCTTCTTTTTTTTCACAGAAATTAATTTCAATAAATTATTAAATGATTGTTTTCTATAGATTTATTTTATTTAATTCATATACATATATATACATATATATATCTTTATTTTGAAAAATGTACTTACCCATTTAATTTTGCACAAATATATAACTAGTTCAATCATAGTATTACCAAAAATGTGCAATATATTATTTAATATAAATCTAATATGAAAAAAGTATTATATTGTTTAAAATTAGTTATTGTTTATTAAAATTAATAGTTAAACATGTCCAACATAATAATATATTGGCGTTTATTAGAACTATAATTGGTCTTTAATGTAGGTAATAAAATAAAATTTGATATGTATTATGAACGTTATATTACGTTTAGTACTAAGCTTATAACGTATTTTTCTATGCAAAAATATTGTGTAGAAGGTAAGAACCCATTTTTTAATTTTTTATCTTGTTTGGTTTATTTTAGATGTTATGATATAGTTAATGAATAAGAAATTAATTACTATTTTGTTATGTACCAATATATTTAATTGCGTTAAAACGACTATACAATAAATCACTATAAAATCTGCTGCTAGAAATTTTCCTAGAAATAAAACAACGCTTTAAGTTTACCTCAACCAATAGACCCAAAAAAAATTCGTGTGAAGTTTTGCATATACATATTTAGTTTTACATTTCATTTTAATTAATTTTGAATTTAATATTTACCCCTGATATTTTAATAATTTTGAAAACAGAAATGCCCTTAATTTAATTTAAATTGCAGTTTTACTTTCTATAAACTAAATAATAGGAAATGGGACTGAACTTGTGCCAAATGGCTATCAAACCAATATCAAAAGTCAAAACCACCCCTGACAGAAATATATGCCTAAGAGAGAGTGACAGTTCGCAGCTGACGAATTTGCACGTATTTTTATGGAAAATTTTTTTTTTCAAATTTTGAATTAGAAAAAGTTAAAATTCAATCTTTTCCTATTTTACTAGTGTTTACATTCCTAAAGTCTTGTATTGTTAAAATATTAAAAAATAGATTTAGAAACCTTCCAGGCTCTGTTAATTTTTTTAAGATTTGAATAAATGCTTCACTACAAAAAAAAATAGTATAAATTTTTTTTTTCGAAGTATTAAGCTGATTTTTGTTTCTTTCCAAATTTGAGAAAACGTACATTTAATATTAACAAGTTTGCTAATTATATGTGTAAATTAGTGCAAACAGAAAACTATTAAAGCTTGAGTTGGTCGATTAAAATTGTCATTTTACTGTCACTATGCTCACGACATAATTTTTGGATTCGGAATAGTTTAAAAATCACTTTATATTTTTGAAAATTCGGAAAAAAATTTGAAGTCACAGAGTTATTGCTAATCAAGGTGGATATTTATTTAACTTATCATATGATCGAGTTACACGATGAATACTTTACAAATAAAATTACGCTTTAATGTATATATGTGTTATATATTTTTCCATAAAATCACAAACATTTTTATTCTCATTATAGGAGTTTATGATAAAATGCAGTAAAAACATTTTCAGTGTTTATCTTATGGATTTGGGTACATCATTGTGATTGCCAATTTCTTATAATAATATCTTACTTTTTTAAGTCCATAAAGTTATGCTACAACATTCTATATATTTTATAAGAATATTTAAGGTATGATGATTCAAAAAGAAAAATAATTTTAATGTATTCAGAAAGAATTGTTTGATTAAAAGAATAAAAAATATTTATTCAGATCACAATCGTAATTGTATTAACTTCCTTCACGGTCAAACTAAACGTTATTAAAAAATTTTTAAAGAAATAAAAAATTAACCACATCAACAAGATAATCTTTTAATATGCCATATCTACAGTCGACCGAAACATTGCCCATTTAATTATTAAACATATTATCTTCGAAGAAAAACCAAGTACATTCATACATACGATATGTTTATAGGCATACATATAAAAATAATATAAATTAACTAAAATAATATATTTTTTTTATTTTTAACTTAATTAACGAGATTTAAACAAAAATCTTGATTTTTAATTAAATGAAATAATAATTAAAATGAAATCAAATACATTATAAAACAAAACAAAAAAAACAACGATACATTCCAATACGAATTATAGCAAGACATGATAATGACCCAATAATAATTTCGATAAACAATAAAGATTGAGAATCGCTGAATAAAATCATTAATGTAAATTTTGGAATACTAATTATTATATTGTTATGTTGGTTAAAAATTCTACATAAGTTTTAATGTTTAACTTTTTGCTGTTTTCTTTTTTTTTCTTTGAAAAACTATCGTGAGAAATACCTACTTAAACATTAACACTGCACAATATAAAAAATTTGTAATATCGAATTCCATTATGCAACATTGGTCATTAAACGTCACAATCGCAAACAACCTAATATGAAATGACTAAGAAACTATCTATTTACGGTGTGAAATTAATACGTTAATTAAATCAAAATGAAAGATATAAAATATTAATACAAAGAAAATTGTAAAGTTCATTTACATTAAAATATAGAAATAATTAAAAAAATATAATAAATTTAAATATAATATGTGTATTTATAGATAAATCTATTATTACACGTTGTCAATGCACGTGAAATGTTGTGTTGAGTGTAGCATAATTTATTCAAAATTAAGATAATCAAAGAGTATCATGCTAGTATTACAGTATTGGATTGACAGGTCGCGCTAGCGACTTTGAAGCTATATCCAGCAAGTTGTAAAATTGCATAATTACAATAGGTTACAAACAAGTAACTGAAAAAATCTAGCAGCAATGTTAAGAAATTTTCCTTAGGAAGTTAGCGATAAAATAATAATAAGGAAAAAGAAATTAATTTTTTCTGACAAATCAACACTACAATATATACTGAATAGATTATTTTTCTTCTTTTTTTAGTCTAGGTCTCTTCACGAAACAAAAATTATAAAATACCTCTGTGAAATTTCAATTCCCGACTTTTTATACAATTCGTTTACAAAGCTGTGTAGCAATCACAGAATTACAAAAACAACATTCCAATACATATAACAAGTTTACTACGCTTACATACGAATGAAAAAAAAACGGATAAGATAACTTTATTTTTATAAATTTAGTAAAAATAATAAACTTAGAGGCTAATTAAAAAAAATATTTAAAAAATAACTGCGTTATTTTTGACAACTTCAAAATACATATATGGCAACAAGAGAAAGACTTGTTAAAATATTAAATAAAAAATTATTCGTAGAAAAAAACACGTTCGTGCTGATTTGTATATCACTGATTTTTTTTTCTATCTTGGCAACGCTAATGTACAATAAAGTAGAAATTAAGTTTTTAAAATAGCGGATTTTTTACATACATACATACATACTTTCATAGTGCAGTAAAGTGAAGCGGTGAACAAATCTTTATTAATTTTGCAAATTATTGTTAAGCGGTGCACAGAATTTAATTAAAAGAAGAATATGCATTAAAATTGAGTTTTAAGATGTACTATGTCAAACATATTTTGAAGATATGTATGTTTTGAAACTAACCGATACGCTTTTCATTGCTTAAGATTATCATTGAACCGAGATCATCAATCAAATTTAACACTGAAAAATATTAGGCGAATTCCTAGGCTAAGCTGTACAATTCGATTTGAATTAGAAATTATACGAAAGGCAAAATGAACAAAAGGCACCATTTGGAAGGATAAAATTAAATATAATCGGTAAGCATCATCGTTACCTGTGTACATACACACATATTCATAAGTATGTATGTATAAAGAAGGAAGCAAAATTTATTGTAAGGTAAGAATTTAGAGGAGATTACATTGTTTGGTATGAAATATGCTGGAAGTATATACACATGAATGAATATAATTTCAGCATATGTCATAGTTTAAGTTTTGATTTCTCACAAAGTAAAATTTTGCAAAATTTAATTTCCATATTATTTTTAAAAACATGATTATTTTGAAAACATTTAAAATATTTTTATGTGGAGAATGTTTAATACCCAAAATAATGTCGATGATCTTGTTTTTAAATAGAGCTAAATTTATTGTACAGGAAATAAAAATTTTAATTGTGAAAATAAGAAAATTTTACTTTGAAAATTTTTAACTAGAATAATTTTAAATTTCTAATCAAATTTCTATAAGTCTATAAAATTATACTACTTATATTTATAATATACAAAATGTAAGTTTCAATTTATTTTTTACATTTTATCTATAGATATTCAAAAGATTCTAAACTTTAAATTAAATCAAACCAGTTCCTTCGTAGATTAAAATTATCCGATATGTTCGATAAATTATTGATAGTTTCTATAAGAGTTTTCATCTTGTTATATTTTTTTTCTATATATGTAGTTACGTTAAGTTTATAAAGACTTAATTTAAATTTATGTATATCAAAATGGCGATTTTAAAATTATTTTGAATTTTATTAAATTTTTAATAAAATGACAAAAAGTTTATGTTTCCAGATATAAAGCAGTCTGTGAAAATTGATTAATTAGATGTTATTAGATTTATTGGTTCAAGTATTAAAATGAACTTAACTAACAGGTTTAACAGAAGAATTTAAGTTAAAAAAGGAAGTGAAAGCTTAAGATTTCATAAAAAATCTAGTTTCAATTTTGTTTTAGTTTAAAAGAAAACGCGTTGAAATTTATATTTTATAGCTTAATTAACTTGGAATTCGAGTGGAATAATTATGGCATGTTTATTTTTATTATAGGCACTGCCCTGGAAAGTATAGCTATATACTTACCAATATCCTATGTACTTACATGTAGGTATACTTACCAGTATCTCATATACTTGCATATAGGTATACTTACCAGGGCAGTGTTATAAATATACGCATTTTAGTGAGAAAATATAAGAATATAGACATTTTAAAATACAGATCCTACTAATAAAATAACAACTTTCATGTTGTTATTGTATTAATAGAAATTCTTTAAAATCTTTTGTATAGGTAACTTGGTGATTAACCTACCTAAATACCTAATTAGTTTTTTTTAATTCGTTAATGCATTATCTAACTGGCATTTTTAGCATAAAATAACATTTAAGAGCTAAGTAAATAGGTGCCTATAGCTAAGTAAATATGTGTCTTTAAGTATTTTTCAAAACCAGTTTCAAATAATTTTTAAGTAGTTTTAGATCATCCTTTTACAAGCTCATAATTTGAATGAAATAATTGTAATTTGGAAGTATAATTTTAAATCCTGTATATTTTATTCATATTTTAATTTTTCCAACATTCTCCCATGTACTATTCTATTTAGTTTTTTGAATTGGTATTGTAAACGCTGTTTGTTTAGAAAAAATTGTGCCAGGAAATTGCATTTTCATCAGCATAATTACCTGTGAGTATCAATAAGTGTTACGAAAAGGTTTTATACATGTTTTGTGATGTGAAATGTTTTAAACAAGTTTTGCGAATAGAAAATAGACTGTAGAATGTTTATATTAATGTATGTATTTGTAAGAAAAATCGAAGTTAGGTGCACGTCAATGATTTAAATTAAACGTTAGAGAGTATGTGATTATTCTTCGTTTATTTCCAAGATGCTTAGAATAATCAAGTATCTAGGTACCTACTTAAGTATATTTTCTAATTTATTTGAATCCTGAGTTTGTTTTAATATTAATGCCATTAAAATTGACAATAAATATGTCTTGTAAGCAATTTAATTCAAATTCTGGTTTTTCAGTTAATGCCGTTGGGTTAAAAAAGTTCTGCTTTCTCTTTACTATAAAATCCTTGTATGTACACGTGTATGTATGTACATATATAAAAAAAAAACAAAAAAATTTCTTTACAGTAAATAAAAATAAATAATTTATTTTTTTTATCTTAATTTTTCTTTTGACAAAATTTTGATGACTATATTTTATGAGTATATAAGTTATTAAGATGATGTTTGTTTTGTTTTCTTTTCTATCGTTGGATATCGTGTGTTTTTATTAAAAATGGTTTCTTCATCTTTATTGTTATTTGTCTTTAATTTTGATATTCAGGATTTGGATGAGTTCTAATCCATTCTAATGCACGTGTAATATATTCGGGAACTTGTGGTACATGTGATCCAGATGGTTGATAACCATTTTCGTCAGCAGTGTATTGCAAAATAATATGTTCACCTTCAGGGCTAGTCCATTCAGCAGCACCTTTAGCATATTGTCCACCGGCACCATTTTCTGATTGACTGATACCATTCGCAGTTTCAAATTCCCAAGCATATGAACCGTCTTCATTTAAATCGAATGATTTTGATAAAATTCCAGAATCATCACCAGCTGCCGCAGCATGTGCGGCACCAGCTCTTGCTAATGGTGATGCTGGAGCACGAGCAGCAGCGATTGTGATGCAAGCAAATAATACAATCTACACGTAAAAATTAAAAAAAATATTAAGTTTATACCTAATTATAATGTAATGGAATATAAAATAATTGTTAATATGTAATCCTTACAGAGAATTTCATTTTAAATTTAATAATGTTGAAGTATCCTGTTTAAGTTGTGTAATCCAAAAGATTTCTGAATTGTTTCTGTTGAATAATTTAGCAAAAAATCGATATTTATACTAAAAATATTATGTACAAAAAAATATACAGGTATTCTTTCTAATCACTAATTTTTAAAAGAAGAAGAAAGGAACAAAAAAAGTGATGGTTTGTAATAATGTTTTATTATTTAATTCGTCTTCTTTTCGTTTTTCTTATTTTCTTGTACTTCCTACATTTGAAAATTGCTACTCGTATGTATGAACAAGTTTTCAGTTTATCTGAGAATTCAAAAATTTTTCATTATTTATTTTTTTTTATTGAAATTATAAAAACTAATAATGTGAGCATTTATTTTAGATTTAAAATTTATTTTGAGCTAGTAATATTAAATAAAAACTCCTAAAACTCCTAAATTCAATAAGCTTTTTTTATGTATTTTATGTCTTAAGTTGTTGAAGTCTTAGGAATGTTGATCTTAACGAGAACAAAAATTAAATTTTTTTGTTATTTCCTACTTACAAATGACTCATGGTTGTGCACATTAAAAAAAAATATTTAAATAAAAGGAGAACTTTTATTAGTATGAGAGAGATCTAGTTGAGTATCACAGTGCGGGAAATTTAGTTCCCGCACTGTGATACTCAACAAGGTGCCGGTTCTGCACCTTTTCGAAATAAGTGTATAAACGGCTAGATTTGAATCGAAATTCGTAAATAAAGTACTTTTCTGAACACACTTCGCACATACATATTATGTTGGTCAAATATTTCTTTCTTTTTATTTAACCTCCCTTCTGTGTTTAGTTATCCTCTAGTGCGTTAAATTATTGAAATGTCTATAAATCCAACATTTTAGGTTTCTAAAGTCTGTGCTGTTTTTCTCTGATAATCATATACTTTTTGTAATTTTTATGTTAGCCTGCATATTATTTAAAAAAATATATTTGAGGTGGGTATTGAAAATATACGTAAAATTGGTCTGCTAGAATAAGTAGCAACTTTTTAGAAATCTCTAACGACTGTTTTAAAAACTGATTCTGTAATATAGTCAATCATTAAGAAATATAGTCAGTCATTCATTATATTGTTGAAAAAGTCTGGTATAACTGAGCAGCTTTTGTTCGTGGTCCTAAAATGGTCCTTTCTGAAAAATTCTCGAGAAACTCTACAACTCTTGTTCAGTTAGATATTTTTTTGGGCATTCATCTCAGTTTCGAATTCTTCATATTTTAAGTTTTCTATTTTGGGAAAATTATTTCGCAGTGTCTGGGTTAAAACTTGTTCTTAATGAAAACTGTTGACAAATAAAAAAAATCTGAGGTGGTCTGCATATAATCGACCACGATGTACATATATTGTCTAGTTGAGTGAAAATGTTACAGAAAATTATGAAAATGTTTCTTATAGCTTTTAATTAACATTCCTCGAAAATTGTAAATTTGCCTCTGAAACTCTTCGCTTTAATTCATTCGAATTCTTTAAAAAGTTCCGCAGTTAGTTTCGTTAATAACCAGAATTAAAACAAGAAATTTGGTTCATTATTTCTCTTTGTATACAAAAAAAAGTAAAATCGTCTTGCAAAGAGGTTTAGTTCCCAAATCTTGGCATATTCCAAAAGTTGATCAATCCGTGACATACCCCAAAATACACTGACATATAAAATTTCATCAATGTTGGCTCAGCCGAACCTGAGATACACGCATGCACATACAGATCCATAGACCAACATCTCCCTAAAAATTGTTTAAGTAAGCTTCCCTTCTATGAAGAAGTGCGTTTTGACCGAAAACTTGAAATCCGAAATTTGGTGCCATCATAAGACCTTAGAAATGATATTAACTTCATTTTTTATAATAATTTTTAAGAACAACAATTTAGGATTGAAAAAGTGAGGTTTGATGATTATTCACAATATATTTTTACAAATACAAAGATTACCCTCATAAATAATCTACCCGTAATTTCATAAAAAAATGCGTACCTAAAAATTTAAGTATGTCAAATTTTAAATTTAACATTGCTTTCGGAAGTCGGCTATAACGAAAACTTCAAGGTTTTTCCCACTTTTTAACTACAGTCATAGAAAAAAAACAAGTAAATATATTTAATATTAAGTACACTTGAATATTTGTATATATAATTTAAAATTTATAGGGGCGAAAGCGGTAGAGTGTTGAAAATTTGTGAAGTTTTCTATTCAATGGTTTTGTTCCGCAAATAGTAGAGCTGAAAATCATTAAATAACAATTTCATGATGGGAAGCACAATGTGGGGAAACTGAATGTATAAATAATTTGGAAATGTTAAATTAAGTTTTCTAACATTGATTGCAACAAAACATTTTTCGGGTGTGCTCTTTAATTGTCTCATTTATGAAAACCAAAAATACATATAAATTCTTTTTTTATTTGCATCTCAGAAATTATGGAAATTCCGAATCTCTGAGGGTTAATTCAACTAAAATCTTCATTTTGCAGCATTCTTTTTTTCGTAGGGAAATTAACAAGATAGTTTAAATTTTGATACTCGTTGTTGAGAAGCAAAATTTTTTTTTCAATATTTTTAATTTTTACACTTTCAAAAAGAAAAAACTATAAAAATTTGTTTTTCGTATAGTAAATGAAAATAAATAATATATTTTTTTTTATTAATTTTTGTCTTGATTTTTAAGTTGCACACACACATTTAATAACTATTTATATGAGCATATAATTTAACAAAATGATGATTTTTTTTGTTTTCTTTTATGTCGTGGGGGAGGTATCTTTTGTTTTTATTATCAAAAATGGTTTCTTCATCTTTGTTGTTATTTGCTTTTAATTTTGATATTCAGGATTTGGATGAGTTCTAATCCATTCTAATGCACGTGTAATATATTCGGGAACTTGTGGTACATGTGATCCCGATGGTTGATAACCATTTTCGTCAGCAGTGTATTGTAAAATAATATGTTCACCTTCAGGGCTAGTCCATTCAGCAGCACCTTTAGCATATTGTCCACCTACACCATTTTCCGATGCACTAATTCCATTGGCAGCTTCAAATTCCCATGCATATGAACCATCTGGATTCAAATCATATGATTTTGATAAAATACCAGAATCATCACCAGCTGCCGCAGCATGTGCGGCACCAGCTCTTGCCAATGGTGATGCTGGAGCACGAGCAGCAGCGATTGTGATGCAAGCAAATAATACAATCTACACGTAAAAATTAAATAAAATATTAATTTTATAATTATAAACATATATTGGAATATAAAATAATTGCTAATATGTAATCCTTACAGAGAATTTCATTTTGATTTTAATATTGAAGTATCCTTTTCGAGTTATGTAATCCAAAAGATATCTAAGTTGCTTCTGATGAATAATCTAGCAAAAAATCAATATTTATACTAAAAATAAATATCATATACGAAACAAATATAAAACCATTATTTCTAATCACTCATTTTAAATTTGAATTAAAGTAAAAAAAGAAGAAAAAAGGAACAACAAAAACGTAGATTTGTAATAGCTTTTCAATATGTATTTAATTTATTTTTTTCTTTTTTAATAGTCTTATAAATTTTGTTGTATTTCCTATATTTGAGAATTGTTATGTGTGAACAAGTTTTCAATTTACTGAGAATTTAAAAATTTTTCATTATTTTACCATTATTTTAAAAGGTAAAAATACAAAAACTTCAATACAAATAACATTTAATGGTATGGGTTTGAAATTTATTAAGTGGTTAGATAAATTACACGCAAATAATAACATTGTTCATTAATTTTAAAAAAACACGTTTTAGGTGTTTAGGTGCTCCTTAACTAAAATTTTAAGCTATTTATTTGTTATTTAGTAAAAAAAATATAGAAGTAAAAAGCTCTAAATATTTGAGTTACATATTTTAATTTTTTCAAATTTTAAAAAGGAATTACGGTATAATTTGTAAAAAATTTTATTTTATGTTGAAAAGCAAATGAAAGTGTTAATTGAATGAGTTAAAAATTTAACAAAAATGTTTTAATTGTAATACGCTTTTCATTCTGCTGGAGCGGAAAGTGTTTTTGGACTTTTTAAATTTCAATTATTACGAAAACCTAATGAGATGAACTTACTGTGTTGTATAATACGTCAGTCACAAATTTTTGTTAATAAATTTTTCAGAAAATTTATTTTATGTATATGACCTTTGTTGGGCTTTGTTATTTTTTTCAATCAAAGATATGCATTTAATATGCAGAATTAAATATTTTTGAATATGGAGAGCTAAAATTATAACATGTGAAGGATTCTATTTGCATTGAACAAAATACATTTTTTTTTTACCTAGCTCTTATGTAACATAAAATTGTATTGTATTTAACCTAATTTGAATATTACATTTTTTACGATTGGTCGGTATTTCTGGATTAACCTAAATTTTTTCTTTTTTTTTTGTAGGTTTTTATTAACCATTGTGGTTAATCCATTTTGGTTAATCAATAGAATGTTGAAGAGATTGGCTGTAATAAATAGGAAAAAAAGAAATCGATGAATTTTGAATTATACACTATTGTACTTTTGTGAGAAATCTCTAAAAATATCATATTGCATTGGAATGAAAATAAAAAAAAAAAAACAAAGAATAATGTAGTGAAGATACCGCAAATTAGTTAAACTTTTGGATTGCAGAAAACTGTATTTAAAATTCAAGAATGAGGCGTACATAGTGTCTTTAACTTATGAACATCGAACCAATTTTATAAGTAAGCAGCTTTCAACAACTCAACATTTGAAACCAAGTAAGTTTTCTTTTAACATATTTGAATAACTTAAGATTAACATGTTATTAAAATATTCAATTAATACTTTCAAACTTTTAAGAAATTCTTCTTTTAATTTTTTGAAACATAATATCCAAACATTTGAACAAATATTTTTGAAAATTGCCTCAAGTGAGTGATTATCCTTTAAGAAAATGTATAAATCTTATTGAAATGTCAACGCAAAATTCATATAATTTGGTATGAATAAAACTTAATTTTAATTAGAAGTAATTCAGTTAAAAGCTTGAGCAATTTTCAACTAAAAACCAACATTTTGTTAGGATATACTACATATGGCACCACCTAACTAAAACGAGACTTTATTTTTAGTTACATTAGTATTTCAATTGATTACTTTTTATGTCGAAAAAGATAATAAAATTGATTTATATTGCTAAATGTATAGTACTGAACAAGTAGCTTAAAAAGCCTTTTATTATGCAATAAATTTTATAAATTTGCGTAAATTTTGTTTCGGATTTTTTTATGCAGCTTTATTTAGAAAAAAATTTATTTCAGTGAAATGTATATATAAAAATGGGGCCCGCCATATATAATAAAATATTCTTTTTTTTATTGTTTTTTAAGTGTTCATTTATACTTTTAGTGTCTTTAAAAGCTTGTGAATCTTATCGATTAAATTTGATTTTGAATTCATAAAATTTTTTTTTCTCTTCCATTTTGTCAAATTGATGAAACGATAAACTAAACTTAATATTTATAATTTTAGGAAATAATAAAATAACACAAAACGTGAGAAGTGTTAGCCCATCAACTCTGTGGTACCGAAAGGAATTTCTTTTTTTCTCTGTATTGTTTTTCTATGAAACGAAACATTTTTCGTAAAATTTGTTTTTTGAAAATCCGAATTAAGAACTGGATCGGTTGACTGACGTGGACAGTGCAACAGATCTACAGTATCGGAATCAGAGCACAAATGTATCGTTTTGTAACCAGCACCCTGTGATCACCAGCTCGTTATTCAACATTTTATTACAGGTGATCTATTCAAGTCACCATATTCTTTTGAGGAATCTATCTAAATCGCCGACGTTAATCTTCGAATATATTTTCTTTTGCGAAAAGAATGTTATTTTTTAGAAATCAATATTGTGTAAAATTAAAACAATTTTTGATTTATTTCAGATATTTATAAGTTTGAAAGTTATATTCTCGAACTTTTTGAATACTTGGACCTGTACTGTACATGATAACATTTTATTGAAATTTCGTTATTATAAATGAAGTAAAAACTTTATA